ATCACCATCGAGCTCAAGGAGGCCTACCGTAATCACTCCAGCCTGAAGCTGTACAGTAGCTGTGACTATGCGAAACCGCTTTTGACCAACACTTCAGAAAACGTTGAATGGTCAACGATCCGTCGACGACCTCGTTGAGTTTGACCCATGTTCCCGAAAAAAAAAACCTCCCAATGTCGTTGAGGTGGAAGGCTCCCTTGGAGTTCTCAGAATACAATGCGCTCTTCTAATTCCATTTGGGATCCAGCAAATCATATCCCCAAATCACATCCCGCAACAATTTCCATTACGCTACAGAGCCACCATCTGCAGAGGTCAACCAACCCTGGCTTTATGGATTTTCACTTGAACAACACCCACATGGATTCTCGAATAAACCTAAAGGTAGATGAAAACATAAGAATCACAGAAACTCTACAAAAATCGGAATTGCCTTACGATAGCAAAATGGAAAGCCTGCGCCGTTAATGATTCATCCTCATCACATCAATCACATCAATCAATATCACTAGTAATTTAGTCGCTGATTTGAGCCGAAGCGATTGAAAGCGTCTTTATTTCTCTACGAGAAGCTTGATCACAATTATGGTGATTCAGGGTGCGCAATAGAATATTACAAGGATGGCCTCAACGAGGATTCGAATCTGAACCTCAAGGACAGGACCCGCGAGGTTCAGTGAGGCTCAGCACTCACGTTCTCCCACTGCCGGGTACCCCCCAGGAGGCCCGTCGCGCGACAAGAAGGCGAGTCAGCGGACGAGTTCCGCGCGTACTGTAGGGATTTCGCGTCAAGTTCCACGTCCTACATCGCTCACGCGCTGCGACTCGTCCGCGACTCTGCCTTCTTGCCGCGCGACGGGCCTCCTGGGGGGTACCCCCCCCACTGCCCTCCTCCGCGGAAGAGGGCATTAGACGTACCTTTACTTTCACCCACCTAAGCCTACAGACGTGAACAACAGAAAATCACTAGAACAGAAAAAGAATTTATTCAAAAATATTTGTACGAAGATGGAACATGCAAAACATTCAGATATAAGATCCAGATTACGTTGTGCATTAGATTCAATTCCCTTTTCAGAATAGTCCATGTTCGACCTTCTTGCAATCTTGGCATGATTAGTTCAGCAGTAATAAGACTTCCAGCTTTTCCTTTTTATTAGGCTTACGTTTCGGCTTCTTCGCCTTCGTCTGAGCCGGAAATGGTCGGAAGCTCAAACGCTTCAACAAAAGGCGAAGAAGCCGATTCTCTTTTCATTTTTTTCTTGAATTTATACTGAACATAACTCAACCATAGACTTCGCCCATCCTACCCGAATTAAGCCCCAAACTCGTTTTGTCTTCGTGTCAATATGTATATCTCTAAACCGCCTCTGACAATGATCGAATCTACTGCACACCGCTCGTACCGGTTTACGTCGACCCAACACAGTTCTGCCCACTCACTTACAATGACGGCAAATTTAGGCTACAGAAAAGAGTTCGGGAGCTCCCTTCTCTGACATGGAGACATCGTTTCAGGCCACGAACTCTGCAGGACGCTACAGCAACGAAAAATAGCTGCACCCGCCTGATGACTGTTAAATAATAAAAATACAAATGTGGGAAGAAGAAAATAGAAATTCGAAAGTTATCTCTAAAGGTAATCAGTGAGTATCTTTTGAGAAAGTAAACAGACAGATTGAAAGCACATTCCGCGATTGAATACGTGGGCACTACTGCGTGCGGAAATGCTAAAAAACTGGGTCGACTTTTAATAATGCGCTGATTTTTTATATAAGACTGCGCGAGATCTAATTGGTTCTTTATTGTGCCAATTCCAGATTATTGACCAAACTTACATAATTTAGGTTTTAAGGTTCTTGCCGGGAGTTAGTTGTTTGTCTTTTGATAATAGCGTCGACCCAGCTGCAAGAAAAGCTAGATGAGAGAGGGGAGCCAGCAAAAGGGGGACAGGAGCCATAAAGTAATCTTGAAGCACACATTTGGAAACGGATCGGTCACCCTTTTCTAAATTCTAACGGAATGTTCCCAAAAACTGGAGAGCACATCCATTATATCAGTAAAAAAACACATAAGAGCTGTATACACGCGTGACGATCAAAAGAATCTGCCCCGAAAAAAAATGAGCTGCATGGGTGGATCAGAGCGAAAGAGGGGGCATTTGCTCCCTACTTGGAGTATCCTCCTGAATGGGGCCGTATATTCTGTAAATATTTCGCTGTAGCCATTCGTCGACAGCGCATCGGCAGTGACAATTGGACAATGACTTTTTTGGCCCCTCGGTCCCGTGGTTTAGTCGGACCATAGAAAAACACCTTTTCACTAGCGGAATAAGTTATCAATGAAAACAGAATCAGATATCGGGCCAGAAACTGCGGGGAGAGAGCGAGCCGATGGGTGGACCAGCACCGGTTCGGCCCCAGCATCGTCCACCCACAAACGCAGCCCAGGCCCTGCCTCAGATGCAGTGATCTCGTATGGGGCTAAATTACTGTAATAACATGAAAACTTGCTCGAAACTGAAAATGAGATGCAGAAGAACACCAATTCACCACAGTTCACAGATTTTTGCCAAAGAACATTTTCTGCATCTTTGCACTCTTGAATGCCACGAGCACTTTAAGAGTAATAGTGCGCTCACGCCTGAGCTACTCCCTCAGTCGGATGCACTGAAGTCAAAGTTAGCGAACACGTGCAGCTTATCGGCATGAGATCCCACAGCGGTATGGAGCTGTTCAATGGGCATCGTGAACAGATCGCGTAGACTTCGCACCTAAACAACTTGGCTATACATATGCTTCATTGGTGAAAATGGAGTTTGGGGGGAGCACTCCCTGCTATCAAATCTGTAGTACTCGAGAGCCCTCCTGTTAGCTCTCTAACACTAAGTATGATATAAAAGGTATTTTTGATAAGGCTCAGTCTTCTTTCTACATCCCGAACATCCTTTTCACATTCTAGGCAATGTTCGGCACCTGTTCATTCTTCCTGGGGCTCCTCTACCTTAAGGCCTAAGCAATGATGTTCATTTCCCTGGTTCAGAGCTATTTCCTAGGACCACTGCATGCCGAAATAAGAAAGCATCTTAAGGAACTTCCACATTACACCGGGACTTATCAGAAGTAAAGTTCAAACGATTACGTGTCATGAGGGCTCTTTTCCTTATCCTGAGTACTACATATTGGGGAGCGCATTGGAGTGGCCTCCCGAACTCCAGTTTCACCTGATGGCGTGAAATCTCTTACGCAATTAAAACTAACGTTTGAACCATAAGAAAAAAGGGGAAAAAGAGCAGTGCTTGAAAAAAGTTGAAGGGTAAGTATCATGCATGCCAACCTTTTGACTGAGCATCATCGACTGTACATCTCCTCTTGCCATTCCAGGCAAATGTTGGGACATGTGACGAAGCAGGATCGCATTCGGCTTTCGACGCTTATCCGGGCTTCCAGTTTGCTCCTCTACAACAGTTCAGGTAAGACTCTACAGCAACAGATACATAAGTGCGTTACACACCTTCAATCGGCTTTGTGATTTCATCTCCTTTGAACGACATAGCCTGCTCAGCATCTGGTTCCGGGCGGTTCAGCTAAAACTCGGTTTGAAGGTGGCATAGCCTACACGACTGCAGAAGGTTAGTTTTATTCCAAAAGACATTACACGAAAACTATTCAGAAGATTAGGTAAGCAGTTAGCACCGCACGCTACCGCGCGCATCAAACGGAAGGTTGGGATGAGACAGGACAGCCGACGAAGCGCTAGATTCACCGCTAACATAAGCTCTTTATCTTAGCAGAAGCTCACCGTTTGATACGCGCAGTGGAGTGCGGAGTTAAAGGCACAACCCAGGCAGAGGTTTTTATAACTCTTCTCTTCGGTCAGAAGTATAGAACCCTAGGGGACAATCACAAATGTGGCGTTCACGTGCACGGAATTCGACCGACAAGAACGCTTTGGGCTTGCAAAGTAAGCTGCTCGAGCTGCAGCGAACGAGCTCTCTTATCAGGCCGTTGTCTGGTGCTCTCTCATCTGATGCGCTCTCTCGCCCCATACTCTCCTCTTCGCGCTTAGTCTCTCGTTCCTTTAGCACAGCCAATTAGTATAACTTAAAAAGAGCCAATTAGATACGTGGTACTCGTAGAGCCGATATGGTAAACCACGCTCACCTTGAGTTCAGCAAAGTACTCAGCTGAATTAGCTCAGGCGACAGCGACCAGATCAGCTTCAGACGTGGTGTTGCTCTCAACAACGAGCATAACAGGGCGCGTACTTCACGACAGTGCCGCGTGAGCTCACCCTTAACAAAAAATGACAGACACTCAGAAAAATCACTGAAATGTTCTTATTTAGCAATGAAATACAAAATACGACGTACCTGAAATGGGCCACCATTGACAATTTTCGACTCAAATTTACGATTAGATTCTACTAAGAGCACAGAATTCGCGTAATGCCGCAGCATCTGAAAAAACAAATTTGATAGTTAGAAATTTAAACGTGAATAGATCCGATCACCTGTTCAGATTGTTTGAAAACACGTCCGGATTGCAAAGACTGGGTCAAATCGTCAAGCGCTTTTCGTTCAACAGCGATTCCTGGTGACAGCACATAGTCACCAACCTGGAAGTGATACATCAACAGAGAATGATCCCTTCCTGGGGCGCCGATCACCTGTCATCGATTCAGAATTGAGTTTCTCTTTTTCTGGTTGAGATTTTTCTTGACATCCTTCCCACCAGGATTACCCTCAAAAATTTCATGACTCCCGTTCCAGACGGAAGGGGGTTCGATACGACCCTACCATCATGATGTTTCCTTACCACTATGAATGTTTATGTTGTATGTGATTCTGACACCAGTCGTAACACTTCGATTCCACCCATCTCTTTCCTTCCAAAATTTTTTTTCGGGGGAGAAGGAATATTTGTATTCTGAAATGGCGAATCTTCTAACTTGACCCCTTCTTGCTTGACTTTCCAAGCTTTTAGAATTTCCCCCGGTATTCCGAAAGAGAACGTCTGAAACGATCTTTTCTCCAGCAACCACGGCCCCCTCTATGTTGGGCAAAATTTTCCACCTCTCCCTCATCATTTAGTCACAGCTCTATCCGCAGCCGCGTTGAACCAACAAAAATGAAAAGCAAACTGAATAGCTTTAAAAAGAAAACTCACCTCCAAAGTGACAGCAACCACATCATACCCCTTTGTATACAACACTGTTGGTAGTTCGCTGTTGAATTCACGCATATCAACAATAACCTGAAAAGTTATTTTTAAATTTACCGTCCAGAGAAAATAGAAGCTAAATACATAATTCGATACTTTGAAAACCACATGCCACGACTGCCTGGGTGAAGAAGGGGAGGAAAAAGAGAAGAGGAGAAAGCTCATAGCGCCCAAATGTCAATGCAGCGGTAATAAAAGGTCAACCAGCAATGAGGAGTGCAAAAATGGAGCAGCCATTAACTGTTCAAAAGCATTTCCACGCTGTGTCATGGGTGGAGTAAATTGGACTACAGAGCCCCCCTATTGGCCAG